GGGATACAGAACTTCTTAGGAGTTATAAATAACAGCTTTAAAGAAATAATAACAGGAGGATGAACTATCTTTTGACACTGCCATGAATTTTTCCTCCAGTGGAGTTTCATTTTTATCAGTGCTAGAAACAACTGGGAGAAAAATGCTTAATTGCTTTAGGCATATACAAATGGAAGAAGTTAGCACGCCCTTTTTTCTTTGAAGAGGAATAATAAGAGGCCAGATGACTGCTTAAATATTACCATCACATTGTGACAGAGTTCCCAGGGCTTGCTTAAAGGAAGGAAATGTGCACTGATGTACATTCATCCTCAGACTTACACCATGCCAGCCTGTAACAAATGAGATGCACAAATACAACCTACAGTTCCTATCCCAGGCAAGCTGTAGGACAACTGCAGAAACAGGTGGGAGGGAAGGGGAAGAATCTCTGTAACTTATACAGGGCATTAGATATGGTTGAAAGGTTTTCTTTCCCCCCCTCCTCCCCTTTTTAAAAAAAAGTAACATAAACTCCTAACTGAGAGTTATACACATTTTAAATTCTGTGATGACAGGACAGACCAGCGAGACCTGGAGTTAATCTTCCTTGTTGCAGGACAGGGCAATGAAATAAAGCAAGCTTTTATAGAACTGTTAGCTTAATATCTGCCTTGCAAAAATAATACAGGCAATTTCACTTAAACATCTTAACAGGCATAATTTTATTAGAAGGAACTGTGCAATTCTTGAAGGGAAATATTGGAATACAAATTAATAGTAATTATCTTGCTGAAAGATATGAAAATTAAAGACAGGCCCTAATTCTCTAAAAATTATCCAACTTCAGGGGCTGAGAGACCTGATGCTTCTGACATTCTGTGCTCCAGGGCTGCTTGTTTTCATCTGACTGAAATGGCTCATTTAATTTTGGTTTTAGGTTTTAAAATAAGTTTAAAATTAACTTTAATATTGTTTTTTGCATATCAAATATATTATTTAAATCCAATATAGAATAAGTCATCTACCTATAATATGAACATTTTGATTGTAACAAAATTACGACATAATTTCTGGAGTTTCTATATTTTACAGGAGAGTAAACCATAGTGAAAACATCTTCTTATGCCTAGGGTAGCAAATGAGTGTAAGGTATAGCCTTACCAGTCATGTGCTAAAAAGCCCTGCAATATGCATGAAAGTGTCTTTCATAGTGTATCAAGTGCAGTATGAAAAGCAAACTTGTCATGAAGGTCGTGTGAAAACTGCTCATTTTAAGAAAAGCAGAAGAAATAATTTCCCCCCAATTCTTGCATCAGGTTAAAGTCTCCAAATGCAAAAACAACAACAACAAAAAAGTCAGAGAAGGCACTGATAGGATTTTGATATAAACTGAAATAAATTATACCAATAGGTTTGTATTTGGGAAGATGCGAGGAGCAAAGGAGAGAGACAGGCATTAGAAACATC